CGAACAAACTGAAAAATGGGAAACACGCTGATTTTAGTTCGTGACTACTAGCAGAATCGAGTACCTGATATTCTGTTCAGATTTGAAAGTTAAATGTTCGAACCAGGTATTGTAAATAATCTTAAACTTTTGGCTAGTAATCAACTGAAAAGGATCAGGGATTAACTCATGCACAACTATCCCTCTACGTATTTCATTTAACAAGATGATGAACAGACAGATAAGTAGAAAGACAATCACAAGAGGGACATTATATACATATACATAAAGGAAATACCTTTCCTTAGAATTGTAAACATTAAATAGACATCAAACAGTATTTATATTCGAACTAGATAATTATAAACGACTCAAAAAGAATGATAATCTATTTTACCACTTACAATCAAACCATCATAGGATCTAATTCATAATCTCTATGCTTTGATGATTAGTATTTGTCTTCATGATGAGATAAAGATTACTAAATATTTTGGTGGCTTAATGAAAAGTTGATTATGATTAGTTGTATACAGTATTAAGTGTACCATTAAAAAATTAAGAAATCTGATTCACAGGACAGCGTCGATAATCAAAGCTCAAATAAGATCTTATCGTTTTAGGAAAGGTTTCATGGACGCCACTATGTTGGGTGCCTAACCATAAATTATATTTATTTTGGAGTGATGACTGAACTGATGAAACTTCATGTGAGGTAGGTAAACCATTGTACAGATAGCTGAACCGCTAAGTGAAACACTTTGATAAACAGATAAACGGGGTTTAAGGAATATTCCTATTGCCCATGACTCAGTCGTAATTTAATTTAAATATTGACACTCATTCCCCCTCCCCACTCATCATCAAGTTGAAAAGGTTATGGTAAAGCCGGAGTTGGCGAATCATCACGACCTGATGGTAGATATAGTGATGTCTTTTCATAGTTAGGATTTCCTGGTAAAACTTTCAGAAAGGGTAGAAATTCTGTAGTATACACAGGAGGATCACCTTGAATAGCGCAGTTTCTTAAATCCTACACTCAGTGTTGCAATAGCGCTATCACATGATGTATGAAGACACCAGACGTCATGAATCGAGATATCACGGTGAAGTATAACTTTAAATTCATGCCTTGACATATAATATGCAATAAATACATCTCATATGAATCAGAGTTTATAATGAGTTATCATTCGCAGAGTCGATTATGTCAGTGTAACCTAATATCATTCTAGTTGTACTGTGTTGCAGACTTATGAATGGGGTGTCGTTATTTGCCGTAGTTTGTAAAACAGAAATTTAGCTTGGAGATCTGGTCAGCTAAAAATACACAGACGGTATCATTCTTTCAGATGAAAACACTGGCAGGATGCCGTATACTATAATACCAATATAAGAAAATACTAGATAGATTAAGCATCTATCAAATAAACAATTATGCTTTTGTCCTGATAAAGACTAAACAAATATCATATCATAGATCCACTATCATATAAAGTCATAAAATCAAGAAATTTATTAATCATTCGAGGATTAATAATGAATTCATAAACTAAGGTTCATGTAATATTGTATTATTGATATCAGCTTGGCTACATAAGAACTGTATACTTATTATGAACAGACTACTTGTATACCGAAAAATTTTTTTAAAGAAAATAAATACATAGATAAAAAATCACCTCAATCATATTTGAATTACGAAGAAATTGGACGTTGATTTAGACAAAAGTGGAATAATTACCACATGAACCTATTGAATGAAATTAATTTTTTTTTGTGTTGTCATATTTCGATATGACAAAATATGATTTCATATAACCTTAGTATTAACTAAGTGATTACGCTCAAGTATATCATGCTTACAAAGAAGTATTAATAATCGACATATGTACAAAACTAAAACAATCTTAGAACATATTAATATCTTGAAATTGAAAGTACAATTGGCGCTTCTGAGAAATACAACCTAAGGCAATAAAATAATAATTTTTAACAGACCGGAAAAAAATTATTAATAAGAGAAAATAGAGTATCGTATTTCCTCATTCTTCTAATTAAGGAAAAAAAAATACAGAAATAGATTAGTGTTGCACATAAAGTATCTGGAAATATTAGGCTGACTTATTTTAGGAGATTCGTTTCATTCATTAACACAGCTCATCTAATAGGAATCTTGGTTACAAAGATTAAAAATGAAAGAGAAATAAACAGAAACACATGAAGAATGAAAGTGATCCAAAAAAAGAAAACAACGTAAAGGTGAGAAATATAAAAACAAACAGAAGGATAAACGATGAATGAGAATGATAAGAAACTGTGAAAAAAGGTTCGATGACTTATGTGGAAATATATATATTCATATGTGTACATGAAATTGACATAGTGAATGTCTATGAAAGCGTGCGAAACAGTGCATTAAATACAACGAGATATAATTGTTCCACGTTTATAAGATAGAGAATACATATATCTTAAAAAGAATGAGATAAAAGCACACATCACATCGTATAGATAATCTGAAAATAAGACATCTAGGGTTTTTTTTTCTTCAAAGATGGCGTACACGTTTAAGTGGGTTAGACAAAAATTCAACCGGAGAATTTGCAGTTGGTTCGTCAGGTTTATCAAACGATAAAAGCTCCAGACAAGGATTGTTGGATTGACTAAAAGGAAGTTGTCCAAACGAATCTAAAGATGTGTAGATGTGAAAAAAAAAGCGAAAACATCTGATTAACTCAGGATCCTAACTGGAATCAATGACCAACAGTGTTAAATGTATCAGAAATACTTATTGTGTTAAAAAGAAACACAAAACCAAAATTGACAATTATACTAGATTAATTTAAACGAAGATTATTCATTCACTGAGTTTTATTAGGAATCCGTGACCAGTGCAGTTCAGCTATATTGAGTGTGAGAACGATACCAACTGAAGACAATGGAAGATGGTTGCGCAGTAACGTGGATTAATCGAGGTTAAACATATCCACTATTGTATACCGGCTCAATTGTCGAGAAATCAAGCGTTCGCGAGCGAGACTGAAGGTCCCGAGTTCGACTCCTAAATGTGGAGTCGTGGATGAGCTCTTCCAGCGAATTCCATATAAGGATGAAACTGATTTCTAGTACTTACACTTTTTCAATGGCTGTCTAACTCAAACCAGTTAGTGATTCCAATAAAACTCAACGATCTCAACAACTCCATATAGAAAAATTAGTCACAGTGATACCTGTAGAAATGTCCCTTTGTTTTAAATATCAAACAGCAGCATCTACTCGATGGCTAAGGTTATTTCGACGTACCAACGTGGGTTTTTACTTCGCTGTTACACCTTCGGTTTAGGTAACTAAGTAGTAATTCTAGTCCCTAAACTTAAAGTATGAGTTGAAGTCAAGTAAACAAACCTGTACAAGGCAAGTGAGTTAACAATAACCAACGATAGGTCATATTAATTTCAAATACTTTTCATGTGACATTTTTCTTTCGAAATTATCTTAAACCATTACAGTAACCACAATATACTGACGTGAAAATGTTTACAACAAAAATATAGTTAAAACAGAATAATTTTCCAGAACCAGACGTAAAGATGATAGCAGAAAGAAAAGAAAAAGCTGGCACCCGGAAATTAAACGATTACCAAAAATATTGACAAGATACAGATTACTTACGCGTATGCTTTTTGAAAGATATGAATTGTGTAATTAGTTAAATAATAATAAAAGTCAACAGGGAAAACATTATTCAGATAGCTAAAGGCTAATTTACCCATTGTAAATATAAATGTATAAAATTTAAGTAAATAATCAAAGATTTGGGGAAGTCGGACTGTGGCCAAAACTGAAATTCAGTATGAATGTATTATCCTACTTGGGATCTATCAGTTCTATGTATCTGAGTAATGAACGCAGTCTTGGTTTAATAAACCAATTTATTATGTCAAACAGAGTTACACACCACATATGTAAATTATGAAAACAATAGAATAAACCATTTACACGCCTTCCTTGAATTATCTCTTACACAATCTATTGTTCTTCCATTCCTGTTGCTACTTCAACTGCTTCAGTTTTAATTTCTCTTTTCATTTTTCCTCTTCTGTTAATAAGAATACTAATTTCAGTCCCTGATACATACCATTTATATCTGTCCGTCTAAGTAGTATACACTACACCTGTATAGCATAGTTAACGTTCGAATAATGATTCGAATCTACTACCTTTCTCTACAAACACCGACGTGTTATCCACTGAGCTAGTGAATTCAGACAGCCACGGAATCGTTCAATGAGTATGAAGTTATGTGAGAGTTTGAATAATCCCATTATTGACATTTGATCAGTCCTTCTTGGTATTTATGTATCCTATGGAGATTGTCTCGATAGAGCATTTACTTACAAGTTTTAGTAAGGTTAAATTTAGTTTTGTAAATATCAACTCATCATATACGGCCCAGGTTAAATTAGCAGAGATTACCAACATACTACGTACAGTGAATTTTTAAGTTGACAGACAACGGTATTTTTCTAATTGTTCGTGCGTTATGATCATGTTAGTCATCCATATATTCATGTCTTTTTGCTTTAATCTGATTCAAGGACAAATTCTCTCGTGTATATACTAGTGGGGAAACGAATCAAGGACGTAACAAATTCATGAATAGAAATACAGAATTTTCGTAAAATTACTGCATATATATGTATAATCATGTGTAAGTTTTGAATTTAATGGGCTAAGTAAACGAATTAGTTCAGTCACTCAGTTATAAATAATACAGAACGTGGTATAAATATGTACAAGTACAGTGAAAACACTGAAATTTACTAACAATTAAATTTCAGACAGTATAAAGTAAAATCAAAGAATTGTTTCATTCAACTAAGTGAATAACCAACTTGAGTTAACTTAAAATTAAATAAAAAAGACTTAGAGTTAATGTCAAGCGAACTAACTCCGAACAAGTGGAACGGGGATTTACAATTATCTAAAACATGATGAAAACGATTTACTATTCAGTGGGATTTGTAAGAATTAACTTTTAAATGCAAACAAATGATCCAATAGGAACGAACAAATAAATAAAATTTTCAAAATACAGTAAAACGAACTTGAACTATTGAAGTACCTTCTGATTTACTGATATCCGCAATACTTCTTCAACAGTCTACGAGACGAGTAAGCAACATTATATTTGTGCGTTCATATATCAACTTAACAGTCTTGTATTAGAAGTGAATTAGTTAATTGTGCTTGGATAATTTTATAAATATGAGAATTCCCAGTACCAATGGATGATCCGATGTACAGAAATCCAGTTAGACATGAGGCGTTATATTCAGTTTATTATTGCTAAACAGTTATCTAATCAGCTTAAAAATCCCCATAGAATATTCAAAATGAAGAATATTTGAGCGAACAATTGTTTTCAATAACTTTATCATCACGCTCTACAGTTATAAGTCCATAATTATATTTTACAAAGGCCCAAAATAAGGCATGTATTAATGAATTTGAAAATGTCATGTGTTAAAAATGGTGGACGTTTGCATCTGTTACGACATATATATACTTCAAAATTGTATTATTTGCAAATTAGGTCATTCAATAAAGGTCAGAATGATTTGGAGTAAAGTGTCCATTCACAATAAGTAGAATAGTATTATAGCAAAAATGAAAATGCAAAAAAAAAATTGTGTGAATAAAATGCATAGCAGGAGAATTGCATCTTGTCAATTGAGATAATAATAATAATATTGTTGTGTGAATATAATATGTAATAAGGGGGGGGGTGTTATCAAGGTAATTACCATAAACGATTTGAGAATGATGGATGTGAAGATTAAGATAAAGGTAATCAAAAAAGAGGCGGTAAGATGTCTATAATATTCAGTTTAGATATCCGGTGATCCAGTCGTGGGCCAGGGTAAACATAGAGGCTGGATATACTTTTTCGGGATACATAAGTTTGGTTTTCTGAAGTTGATCCAGATGGCTTCGGCTATGTAGAGCAATCATAATCTAGCTCCTTGAGGTAGATATTTTGGAACTTGATATAAAACAGAGAAAGCTTTCTCTTATTTTGATATGATGTTCACCAAGTGTGAAAGACTTACTTACTTACTTACTTACGCCTGTTACTCCCAATGAAATATAGGCCACCGACCTGCATTCTCCAACCCACTCTATCCTGAGCCTTCGTTTCCAGTTCTATCCAATTATTGTTCATTTTTCTCATGTCTGCCTTTATTTCTCGGCCTAGTGTGTTCTTTGGTCTTCCTCTTTTCCTTTGGCCTTGAGGATTCCATGTGAGGGCTTGCCTTGTGACGCAGTTGGGTGCTTTCCTCAATGTGTGTCCTATCCACTTCCAGCGATTCTTCCTGATTTCTTCCCCCGCTGGGATCTGAAGTGTGAAAGAATAGTGCTGTTAATCGATTTAGAAACTCCTTTTCCCAACCATGCTGGTACATGTTCACGAACACGCAAGGATAAAACCCTCTGAGTACGGCCTATGTAACTAGCTCCACAAGAGCAGTTGAATTGGTATACACACATGGATTAGCCCATCTTCGGTAACCTATCCTTGATTAGTTGTGTGAGTACTGGTTTAGTTGGGAAAATTATGTGTAGCTTGGCGGAGTGAAACGTCCTTTCGACAGATCTTTTGAATCGACGTGTTATCTAATCCCTAATTAAGTAATGGGAATTATAAACAGCAGGGTCAATAAGAGTTCAGAAGTAAAAATTTAACCATAGAAGATAATAAGATAATTACAAGTTTTCATCTATCAATTTCTTTAAGAAACTATCTACATATGAGAGAAAAACTCGCTCAACAAAATTGATAATGGATGTAGGTAACAAGTGAAGGAAAGTAACAATGTCTTTATGTAAAATATAATGAAATTATGAATGCTAGGAATTCACTGGAAAAGTTTTGTGTGAGATTTTAAGCTGTTCTCTCATTTACATACGTATATTTATAGTTGGAATAAAGTAATTTACCATTAAAATTGGATGATATTCCAAAGTGTTTTCCTAAATTCGACATTTTAAGAAAACTGTAGCTATAATAAACAAAATACAAGTTTGTAAGTGAACTTCGATTTTTATGGAAAATAAGTTACACTAGTAATGAAAAGTTGGAAAGAAAGTAGAACCACTAGACAAAACAATATATTAACCAATAAATTCTTTGACTGTCCATCATGCAAGAAAACTTCTTGATGTTGTATTTTAGAATCTTGAGATGTCACAGAAATCAAAATCGGTTACAATGAATGACATGTGTGTATAAAACTATTCTTTATTTCTACATTTTATTGTCTCGTGTTATTTAAACAACGCTTTTATTCATAATTCCCTTACCATTTTTATTAAAATAATTTGTTTTCATGGTGGCATTAAATAAACAAGAATCACTCTATATCAACTTCCTTGACTACGAAAAGGCATTTGATAGCATGGACAGAACAACACTATGGAAACTTCTTCGACACTACGGCGTGCCTCAGAAGATAGTCAATATCATACAGAGTTCATATGATGGATTACACTGCAAAATCGTGCATGGAGGACAGTTGACAAAGTCGTTCGAAGTGGAGACCGGTGTCAGGCAAGGTTGCTTACTCTCACCCTTTCTCTTTCTCCTGGTGATCGACTGGATCATGAAGACGTCAACATCTGAAGGGAAACACGGGATACAATGGACAACTAGGATGCAGTTGGACGATCTAGACTTCGCAGATGATCTGGTCCTTCTATCGCACACGCAACAACAAATACAGGAGAAGACGACCAGTGTAGCAGCAGCCTCAGCAGCAGTAGGTCTCAATACACACAAAGGGAAAAGCAGGATTCTCCGATACAACACAGAATGCACCAATCCAATCACAATTGACGGAGGAGATTTGGAAGATGTAAAAACCTTTACATATTTGGGTAGCATCATTGATGAACATGGTGGATCTGATGCAGATGTGGAAGCGCGGATCGGCAAAGCGAGAGCAGCATATCTACAATTGAAGAACATCTGAAACTCAAAGCAACTGTCAACAAACACCAAGGTCAGAATTTTCAATACAAATGTCGAGACAGTTCTACTGTATGGGGCGGAAACCTGGAGAACTATGAAAGCCATCATCCAGAAAATACAGGTGTTTATTAACAGTTGTCTGCGCGAAATACTCCGGATCCGTTGGTCAGACACTATCAGCAACAACCTATTGTGGGAGAGAACAAATCAGATCCCAGTGGAGGAAGAAATCAGGAAGAATCGCTGGAAGTGGATAGGACACACATTGAGGAAAGCACCCAACTGCGTCACAAGGTAAGCCCTCACATGGAATCCTCAAGGCCAAAGGAAAAGAGGAAGACCAAAGAACACACTAGGCCGAGAAATAAAGACAGACATGAGAAAAATGAACAATAATTGGATAGAACTGGAAACGAAGGCTCAGGATAGAGTGGGTTGGAGAATGCAGGTCGGTGGCCTATGTTCCATTGGGAGTAACATGCGTACATAAAAATAATAAAAATATATAAATAAACAAGAAACTGCATGAAAATACTAAATATGGAACTTTTAGTAAACCATAAACGAAGGATGGTTATCCTCAAATGTACAAACAAAGTTTTTACAATAAAATTACTTTCATTCAAATAGAATCTGAATGAAAGTAGAGAAACTTTCTAAGCAATAACGTTTCAGTAACAATTTTCTATGATAGTTATTTTAAAATTAATCTGTAAACATTGAACATATCATTATCATGGAATTATATTCATAATCTATCAATTTAATTTACTTGCAATATGAAAATTTTTAACAGAAACTAATACACCTTTATATAATACATGGATTTTAAAAAAATTAGGCAAACAGAATTTATTTTAATGAAATATTGAATTACCAATTGAAATGATTCAATATACAGTTTTCAGGCCTTAATGAAAATAAATCAATGGTTTATAATCTAAACTAGAAGTTGGAGCACTGTCAGAACTAATTTAGTTAAAGTAGATAAGTAACCTTGTTATCCTGTATAATAACATCTGTGATACAAGGATTTACATTCATACTGTGATTATAAAAAAAACATGTTGATTATATGGACAACAACTAATGAGAATCAACTAGGTATAATTAGTGATACAGAATAATGTTTATTGAAATGTTGATTAGTGAAGCAAAAAAGTAATAGTCTAAGAAATAGTGTTTTATTTCAAAGTATATGATAAATAGAAAGATGTTCACACATCAATATTAATGATAAAATGTCACCTGGTTGTTAAATAAAATAATAATATTAACAATAGGTTTAAAAGAATGAGTACACTTTTTTTCAATAATATCTTATTAATATACATTAAACAAACGTTTTATTCTCAGAAAAAGGAATTTCTATGTCATCATTTCCAAAATAGTATTGACGTAGTCATCGCTTTTTGTGAAAAAAAAAAGTTTTCTTCATTATACAACAAGAAAGTAGGAAAACATTAGGTAAAACTGTGGACTTAGAACTTTGTTGATTCAAAACAAAAAGGAATGCAGGCACCGTGACAATTATCTACCTACATAGTGAAATATAATTTAATTAAGACAAAAAAGGATAGGTACAAAATTACTAGATATATTACTAACTACTGCCAGGATAGAGAAAGAAAAAAACAATAAGGAATAAACAGTAAATCCTTTACATTCCACTACCAATCAAATGGTTATTGATTACCTCTAGTTGATATGTTGCGTAAAACCTTAAGCTTTAATTACTAACAGAATTTTAGTCAGTCAGTCAGCTACAACACAGGACCAGGCATACCTCATTAGCACAACAATATGTATACCAAGTTCATAGAAATAGTTACTGCAATGGCAGTGGTAGATAAAAAAGACTGTGTATAAGGTATAGTATAGGAAAAATTAGTTCGTTGAAAGAAAGGTATGAGGCGATTTTAATCTCATAGTTTAAGGGAAGACAGGAAGTGCATACACCTACGTCATTGTGACCGATTCTGAGCCATGTCACCCCGAGTCTCAAACCATTGGTTACGATAGTCACGTGGACCCCAACCAAGTAGTCTGCATCTACCAACATGGCAAAGGCCAGAAGTTAGTGACTTTAAGGACTGATGCCACGCTCAGGTTTGGCCACTTCCTTCCAACCATCCCCAACACTAGTCAGCATTGCGCGTCGTGGTAATCGGTGCTCAGGCATGCGTAACAAGTGGCCCAACCATCTCAGTCGATGAAGATTCATAACCTCATCAACTGATTTACCATCATTCCCTAATACCCTGCGTCTAACCTCACTATTACTTACCCGGTGATCCCAGCAGATGCGAGCAACATTCCTAGGGCATCTGTGGTCAAATACTAGTAGCTTAGGGGTATCTTCTACCATTAATGGCCACATTTCGTAGCAGTAAAGTAGGACAGAACGAACTGCCGTCCCTTAATTGGTAGACGGATATCTCGCCTTCGCCAAAGGTGACGTAAGTTGGCAAAAGCCAAACGAGCTTCTTGAATCCATGAAGAGATTTCGTCAGACACCAACCCACTAGGGATGATTAGACTTCCAAGATAAGTGAAGTTGTCAATGCATTCGACTACTTCACTCTCCATCCTTAGTTCAGGTGTTGACGCAGGCCAGTCCTGAAGCAATAACTTGCATTTAGAAGGGGAGAAATGCATCCCAAATACCTTGGCATTGTTGCTCAGTGCTACCAAGACACTCTTCATTTTATCAGCGTCTTCACCAAACAGGAATATGTCATCTGCGTATTCTAAATCGATAAGTCGACCACCTGGAAGGAGGTCAATGCCCGAAAATTCAGTCGATGAGAGCGTTATTTCCATCAGTAGGTCTATGATGAAGGTAAACAAAAATGGAGAGAGTGGACAGCCTTGACGGACACCACTTGAGGTTGCAAAATCAGATGAAATTTCGCAATAATCTCTTACTCAATTAGTAGTGTTCGAGTAAAGAGCCTTCACAAGGTTCATGTGCTTCTGAGGTACACCTTTCAATGACATAGAACCTCTGGGTCAACAGAGTCAAATTGTGCTTCTAAGTCAAGAAAGACCACCATTGTCGGACGCCGACAAGTATATCTGACGAACGGCGAATACGTGGTCGATACAACCATGACCAGGTCTGAAGCCCGTCTGATTTTCACGTGTTTGCAGTTCACGAGTCTTATCTAGGCGCCAGATAATTATTGAGGCTAGTATTTTAGATGCTGTATTAGTCAAAATAATCCTTCTGTGGCTGTCACAGGATGATTATGACCCCTTCTTATATATTGGGACAATCAGTGATTGGGACCAGTCAGATGGGAGTACGTCCAGCTCCCAGATTTGAGCTAAAATATTAGTCAACCTAATCGCTAAAATTGGACCATCATCCTTAAAGACATCTGGACCAGATGCACTTCCTCGTTTCAGATTAACTATAGCCTTTTGAACTTCAGTTAGAGTAGGGGGACCTACTTCAATGTTCTATTCAGGCTGTTTGGCAATGGTGGGTAGTTGTCAAGTAGCTGAAGGCCAGCTGAACTGCTCCTTAGTGTTCCACCCATCTTTCTAAACGTCTGGGCCTAGAGCAGATAATTGTTGTCTTTTTCTGAGATCGCCTCACTTACACTTGACTTATTAATTCCAGTCTCTTTTATTAGTCTGTAGAGCTGTCTTGTGTTACCTACAGCCATCGCCTTTTCCATCTCTTTTACTTACGTTGCCCACCACTGCTCACGGTTGTTCCTTAGACTTTTGGTTAACCTAGATCTGATTTGTTTACGCACTTCATCGTGTTCAGAGCCTGATGGGATGAGTTTACGAGAATAAACTTGAAGACCTTGAAGAAATCCATTGGTTTTTTGTAACTCTTTAGTCACTGTTGTTTCCACAACTGTTCGCATATCTTTCTAAGTAGCATCTGGGTCGGCTTCGATTTCAGAGCTACCTAAGTATGACCTCAGTTGTTCATGGAGTCTACTTTTAGCTTTCTCGTCACTCGGTTTAAATCTAGTGGGTCTTTTTAGTGTGGTTTTTCTGCGTCCAGCGAGGTGCAAGCAAATATGTGCTCGTATTATATCATGATTGGAGCCCAAACAGGTATTCCAGAACGAGCGTCAGTCTTCTGTCGAGCCTCTCCAAAGATGACTGATGGCAATATGGTCCATTTGAGTCTATTTGGTTTGGTGCAAGAAGTCGCCATGTTAGACGATGTCTCTCCTTATGCTTGAAATTAGTACTTGCTAAAAATAAACGATTGTCTGAGCACAGTTGCAGCAGACTATCTGTTCGCTGTGCTGGAATACTAAAATACCCACCTAAGTGCCTTTCCGTTTAGTTTAAACTACCTATCTGGGCATTAAAGTCACCTGCTACGAGTACTATATCTGAACGTTTAGCTTTCTGAAGAAGTTCAGATAGCTTTCTGTAAAATTTATCTTTCACTTTATCTGAGCTGCAGTCAGTGGGAGAGTAGTCAGGAACGACGTACGTCTCTATCCTTCAGAGTTCTTACGGAGCCGTTTAACCGAACAGCACATAGACGACTGTCAACGGGGATCCACTCTAACAGTGCTTGTTCCACCCTCATGCTTAGTGCTGTCTACACCTGCCAGTTCGTGAGAACTGGTCATCGGGTCACCAGATACACGGAGGGTGTATCTCGTTGGCTCTCCGTTTTCCCGAGGTGAGGTCAAGTGAATGACCACACTGGAATCCTGTATGCGTGTTTCGGAGACACAACATACATCAATGCTACGAGATTCTAGGGTTCTAGCCAAAGAAGCCTGTTGACCGATTTGACATAGGGTGCGTACGTTGAAGGCTCCAATGTGTAGTTTGGAGCGAGGTTACAGTAGACCTGGGACAGTGTTTTGAGCGCTAGAATCGTTGGCTATGGTGACACTTGGGGGGGGGGAAGCCGAAAAAGGAAGTTTAGAGGTGAAAGTCGATGTAGGAGGAATAATAGAAAGTGAAGACGGAGGTTGATTATGAATATAGTGATCTTGAGTGCTGTTAGAGGTATGAGGGCGGTTATCGCTTCCCGGTTGCCCACACCGTGGAAGAGTTTTTCTAGAAGTACCTGAAAAGGAAATTGGATTAGAGGTGGTCTTAGCGACCTGGGAGCGTGGCCGCAGTGCCCAAGGGACAACTGCTTGAGGTCGGTCATACACGACCTTTTTGTGAGTAATTTTCGTGTTAACTCCGTACTTGTTGAGACCTTACCGCCGGAGACGGATATCCGTGGGATAAAGCGAGGTGTGCATTTTTAGAGTCGACCTTTTCTAACCCCACCGCTCCTTGTGGGAAGGCAGCATCGCTGTCATGCTGGTTGTCTGAAGGAAACACCTTACTGCTGTCACACCTCTGTACAGTCAGCAGCACGACTTCGCCTTCGGACCTTAGGTTTTCTGCTTTTAGATTTACCGCTCTTCAACAGACCGGTCTGGTATGGTAGGACTTTGAGGAACTATTGTTCTAGCCAGTATAGCTCGATTGGTTCATTATGATAGGCAAGTACAACCACCACCTCAAGGTAGCAGCAACGGCTATATCATAAGACAGCCAAATAGATAAGCTACTCACATAATTACTACTGCAGGATTGAAATGAAGACAGATGATATAAATAAAATAAAGAAAACCAAAGGTGAAACACTAAGACAATCTGAACACAATCTTAAGAACCACAATCGTTAGATAAAAAGCATGGCTACTTAAAATTATATTTTAACTAGATAATACCTAGCCTAGATAGATGAAAATGATATCAACTAATTTTTAAGAAGAAATAGAAATGGAAACCGATTCAAACCGATGAACTCCTAGTTGACATTTGAATGCTCAAGATTATGAAATTATTCACTAAGTAAAAAACTAATAATCATTGAAATAAGAATTTATCATAGAAAACAGCCTCCAAATCTAGGTGGAGAAATGGATTGTTCATTTTGATAATCAACATCTTAAGAAATATTTACATGGAATTCTTTCTGTGATAACACGAGTTAACTGACAAAACCTTGGAATCTTACATAGTTTTATGAAACCATGATAGCTGTTTCACACTAGTATGAGACTTCCTCTGGAGTGAGAATTCATAACTCTACCGGGGATTAATTCGAAGACCTTCAGGTCACGTAGAATGCGCTTAACGTTCGGTCTATTGAGTTGATTTCGAATGATTTACAGGTCTAATCATCTTCTAATGGTAACTTTCGGTATGTGCATCACATCCGACATGAATGGATTCCAATTGTTATATCCTAGTGAAGATTACATTACGAGTAACGACTGAGACCTATTAATGAACTAATATTATTTATATATTCTCATGTACGATTTACTGTTCTTAAGCTATGTTCAGTTTATTGACTACTGCCTCCCACGTTCACAGCCACTTTTTGGCTTTATTGCCTACAAATGTTATTTCCTACTTTATGGTGCGTTGCGGTCTGTTTGTTTGATATATAAACACAGTATTTTTGAAATATATGGTTCGCATAGTGGGAGCTGGTATTGGTGTTCTGGACTCAAGTGGACGGGCTAGGCGGATATAGGACCAATAAGGACGCTAGGCTGCCCATACCGGTCGGACGTCATTGGTTTGGCACAGTGCTAAGATTGTATAAGTCGTATTTTGACTGGTGGATAAATCACGTGATAAAAAGCCGGACATAAAGTCACAACACCAATGGTTACGGTTTCTAACTAGAACTTCAAGAATTACCTCTTAAAACCAGTACCTCATTAGTTGAACTAAGGTCAGATGCTGATATGACCTATAAAATTCAACGATCTCCATAATCCCCCTTATGCAGATTGAGGTATGTCTAATTACTACGTGTACCTCATAATTGTGAATATTTAGAATAGTTAATACTTTCGGTTAAAATATGGTACCAAAAAGCGAATATTTCGAATTACTCGATTTACAATTAAAAGCTTCACAATAAACACAATCAATAATAAATTCATATTCAATGTAAAACACCTTGAAAAGTTTGATAAATATTGTACGTTATGATTTGTTTGTGCTTACCTGGGAAATGCATTTTTGACTTATTTGTGCGTACACACATCTTTGATGAAGAATATGACTGTAAATCATAAGAAGGATGGGTTAAATCTGAAATTGTTGTTGTCATAGGCGCTGTTGCTGTATTTATTTTTAAATTATTATTATTACTATTATTATTGGATGAAAGAAATAGTAATAATTCAGGACTAGGTACAGACTCAATGAACTGATCTGGTTTAAATGATCTTTGGTTTAACGGTATACTACCAACACCGCTTGTAATTATATGATTATTGTTATTAATACTATCATTCTTGCTACTACTATTATTAGTCGTTGTATGAGTGAATTTAGGGGATCGATTTTCATTACTATTGGTATTATCATTTAGATTTTGTGTATTACTCGAACTTGATGGATTATTATTAATGACATCATTCAATGTATTGGACATAAAATGAAACGGGCTGAAATTTGAAATGCACATTTCATCATCCAGAATAGTTGAAGGATTCTGAAGTTGTTGTGGTGGTTGCTGTTGTATCTTACACGAATTTAATGAGGTTATAGACTCATGAATAACAGGAAAATGACTAAATCTCTCCTGCATAGACAGAGTACTGGATGAAGTTTGTAAATTATGAGATAAATTCTGTGTATCCCTTATAAGAGTACTATATGGGTCATCTTTACACTTGAGATTAGAGCATGAAGAAAGGTTACGATCATATGAACCGGATAATAACTGCCTATTGGATGGTGATGTTGAGGATAAATTAAAGGAATTGTTATATAGTTCTGATTGATTAGGTCTGCTTGAATCTGCTATTGAGGATGTTTGATTGCCTTCCCATGATGTTATATTTAAATGCTTGCTGGGTGGCAGATGTGTTAGACGATTCGAATCACAATAGCTAGTGGGGGGTGAAACAGTTGTTTGTTTCAAAGGTAGAATAGGGGAACGCGATCTCGATTCTATATTTGGAGAAGTTTTGGGATAAAAATATTCATCATAAGGTTCAAAAACAGGCCTTTTAATACGTCTCGATGAAGTAAGTGAAGAACGCTGTGTTGCATAACTTGATGGTTCTGAAAAAGAACCAGGACTTAAATGTGCATTGGTAGTTGAGCGATTAGCGAAATTATCTGTATTTTGATTGCTAATTGATAGTGCAGACAAAAGATTATTATTAAAACAATCTTGAACTTCACTTCGAAAATTTTGAACATTTTCCGAACGAAATGAACTTAAATGATCACCTGATACAATAGGTTTCATATTAGGATCTATTAAATACGATCCACGATTATGAGTTGAAAACTCTTGAGATCCGAAATGTATTTGAGGGATATGATTTCTAGAACTAGAACGTAGATCTGAATTGAAAGGTTGGTTTGTTTCATCATCTAATATAATCTCTCGACATAACTCATTAACACGAGATTCACCTACTACTACTCCACTAGTAGTATCTTGTTCGTGATAAATCAAATTCTCAGTTTTCTTTTCTCGTTCAGTAGATGTAGTAAAATGCATTGATGAACTTGGCGCGTGTGTAGCATTCATATGTTGGTCAGTTATACTCTCAGGTGTAACAGAATGTGTAATACCAGGAATATGTTTCTAAATAAAGAAGAAGTGAAATCAAAAGTATTAAATAAGCACTTTAATTCAAAGCAATTCTGAGAATGGTTAAAGTGGACTCAAACAATTTCGCACTCTAATCCTCCATAAAAAGGACAAAAATCCAATACGATCGTTAAACAGGAACAAATAACCTATTTATCTAGGGACTAATTGTTTCCAGGCTATAGGAAACGCTGAAAACCATCCATTCGACTTGCGTTGACGACTGAAACCATTGAATGAGGTTTCATCTTATTATGTATCAAGATTATAAACGAACAACTCAGATTGGGTAAGATTACTGTTGAGTTCATGAACCAAACTACGTTATATTACGATTGAAAATCTGAAAGCGCTAGAAAGTTGTTTCATCCTAGTGTGGGACTCCTCAATAATGGACATCTATGACCCCGCATCCGGAAATCGAACCAAAGATCTTCAGTCTCGTGTGCGAATAGTTAATCTCTACACTATTGAGCCGATATCCAATGACAGATAAGCCTAAATTCAATCGATCTATAATATTGAGCGACTGTTTTTCATTGTCTCGGGTGGTTAACTTCCTCACACCATATAAGATTGAACTAAATCGGTCATGGCTTCTCAGTAGAACTCCGTGAATTTCCTCTAGAAGCTAGTCACTATTTATCACCTGATGATTATAAGCACAGGGTCGTGAAAATCGTTGAATCCTGTTGATACTACGATCCAATCTATGATTACGTTTGTTCTCGCGTTTATGGGTGTTTTCAATAGAGTAATAAGAGGAAAAACACTACGAAAATCGTAAAATGGTTTTCCTAAAATAAGATCATGCAACGTTCGCTATAATAATAGACAAATAAAAACCAAACATCATTCAGAAAGTTCTGATCCATTCGTCCTAAATGTTATAACAGTAACTGTGCGAACTACCACGTAATATTACGCGTATTACTTAAGACCAGAAGCATTGTTCATAGATCAACAGTAGCATACAACTAATAAGTGTTAAGCAAAATAAGTCCCAAAATTATGATCGGATAATTATGTGTATGCAAAATACTATTTCTTAGTTTCAACTAGCTAAAAGATTTTATATTCGATTCTTATCGATTCAACTGCAAAAGCTTTTTTGAAACCCGACTAAACAATAACGAATTACCATTGATTAATAAGCTTCAGTGTCTTAAAACTGTGATGAATGTTACCGATGTGCAAATCACAAAATGTATGCGTCATAAACAAGTTCCTGAAATACGACAGTTGATGAAACAAAATTTAAATGTGTGTAAAAATATTCTTCGAATTCCGCTATGCTTTGATATATTGAGTCAGTTAGAAATCGATCAAATAATAAGTGCACACGATTGACATGGGAATGAGACATACACCATTTGTGGTTTAACTTCCTAAGGGATATATATCAGTATATATTCTCCATTGAGTTAGTCAGTGAAATTGGTCGGTTGGAATCGTGTAAAGGAAGATTGCATATCAGTAACAACTTTCGAACACCGCACGATGCAACATTCTTCATTATGGCGATGGACTGATGCGACTGTAATTAGTTTTGTTCAGTGATTTACTGAAGCGAATTAAGACTTGGAGTACATAAACAAATTTTCATTTGCTAACACTTACTGATGCAATAAAAAACCATATTAAAGTGAATCAGCATCTTTGAGTAAGAAAAGTGTAGAAAACATCCATATCAATACACGAAGTTCTAAAAAACAATAACTAATCAATTTCAACATAATTTAAGACTATCATTGTAGAAGCGAGTTTATTAGGTAGTAGGTTGGTGGTAGTGGATACTACTCACAAGATTATTTGTAAGTAGTGTGTGGCGGAAAGTAACATCATAGTCTCTACGATTTTCAGGAATGAAGAGTCAGTACATCGAAAGCAGGGCATTGGGATAATATGTAGAGATCAGAAGAGAAAACGGTTCAGACTGCATAGCACACCGAAAGATGCAGATGGAAGATTGAATGTATGTGTATCATGTAAATAATACGTAACCTTTCGCGATAAATAAACATTCCTCCTGCTTATTGTCGTTCACATGTAGAGATGGTTAACGAGAAACCACAAACCTACGTTTTGTGTCAGTCGACACTCATCAGCAAACCATAGATAGAAATTTGATGGAATTGAGGCTCCCACTGAGATTTGAACCCATGCTAGTCAACTAGCTTGATAGTTTACGTCGTTATTAATGAACTGTGTCGGACTGCAACTGACCACTTGAAAAATTGGATCTTACTATCTACTACTATCTGGATAATTAAATTACCACTCCTATCGATAAAACATGTCATGTTTCAATAGATGAATTTCTAAAGAGTAACACCATTCCAACGACAAAAACCACACCAAAAGAGAATGAAAGGTTTAATGTGTCCTGTTAAATTGAAGTTTAACCAGTCAAAAATTATTTCATGTCTTAATCAACAAAGAATAGTTTTTTTCTTAAATGATTATAAAAGTTATGTTGAAGCTAATTATAAGCATCAAAACAAAGACAAGAGAAAAAACTCTCCACATTACATACATTTAACAAAACCGGTACTGTTTGCTTAAGTATATATATATAATGTGGATCAATAATGTGCAAAACAAGGAAATTAGTTCATACTACTAAGTACGGTAAGAAAGCATCGCTATATATGTATACATATGAATTGACAGAACAAGGTAATCCATAATAGTACAATTTGAGTAATGTTTATCAAAAAAGTAGCAGTAGAAAAACCCGAAAACGAAAATAAAATATGACTAACTGGTATGTCTGATATTGATCCAGGGAATTCCAATGCCATTGAAACAGATGAAGTAATCGGTGTTTTAGTTCCAGTTCGTATAGAAGCATCAGCTTCACTTAACTGATCAGTTGTATTTGAGAAGAACGGATCATTATTATTACTGACTGCATCACCATCCGATAAGTAAGAAAATTTGCCCTCTTTACGGTTGATCAACTTTAATAAATAACAGTAATGGTGATGATGATGGCAACGGGGATTATGTGTTTAGTATGTGGAAAAAAAAACAACAGTAGTACAAAGTTGATTACTTACAGAATAATAATAACAATCAAAAGGAAAGAGAAACCATGGTATATACAACTTATTAGTTAGTTGTTTAAAAGGAGACATTTTATGATACTATCATTAACTACAATTATTACGTATTTATAGATAGTCTTACCCATCATCAAATCTGTCCCTTGAAACAAGTAGATAATAATAATAATAACATACTACACATGAAATTTCAGATGATTTTCGACATGCCATAAATCTGTATGGTGAAATCATCGCAAAATAACAGTGAACATTTGTTTCGATAAAGAAATTTTTAGATAATGCAATAGATGAGAAAAATTTAAAACCTGGTACTATAAGAATACCGATATAGTTTTCCACATATCTCATGAACATAGGAAGTGAAGTTTATGAAAGGGTAGCCTAAAACATGAAAAGTTCAAAATGATGTAGAGGAATATAACAAAAAATGTATCACCACAATTGTGATCAATTTTGAGTATCTTTAACTCTGCAAAAAATATTTAAGATCTCAAACAAGTACCCGAAAAAACTAATCCCATTCCGTGAGCAACAGTGGTATTATGTACTTTGAATACCTTGAAAATTTTTCAATATAGTTTAAAATTAGTTGACATAGAATCCATGTAATAATTTTTTTATTAATTATCGTAATTTATTAACCGTGTACAGGTTTGTGTTCTCCTCTTCAATAAATAGTTTATGTGCAAGTTTGCAATACTGTCCGACTGTTTAAACTGACGCGTGTGAGAGAAATTCGAACTTATAAATCAATGGTTGAAAGCAGAATTGCTTGACTACTAGCATAAGTACTATATTATAGGTAAAACTCAATAATTGAAAATTTATAATCCAATTAACTAATTTATATTCTTTACGTAAAATATTAGGTTTCACCGTGAAATTTCCAACTCTCAAACTTTACTGTATCCAAATCAGTAATGCTTCAAAGATACCGATAGACTAAAGCTGTGCATTTAAATGAACTCAAATCGCTTATTTAGTCAATGGAATAAGAAGGGAAAGATTGTTGGATTAACTAATGTACATGTGTCTTCGTAATTTAAACTCAAAATCCATAATAAAATGTGAAGTAAATTAAACGAATAGAAAATTGGAAATTTTAGGACATTTTTCAGCAAATTCAGTTATACGACTTTCTAACTAAATTTGTACAGTGTCCTATGAAATTCACTATGAATTCAGTTATTAATATCAGCATTCAAATACCATAAGTTTTACGCGTAAGCGAATTTCGAAAAGCAAGTTTATACAATACTACTTCTAAATACAAAACCTAAAAACAGGAGTAAACAATAATACAAATCATCTGTATTTAGATAGATAAAGCTGTGACAATTAAACAAACTAAAGGGTATTCACACTTTATGAATTACACTTATTGTATGAGACCTAATAACATCAAAACAACTGTCAGAAAACATCAAAGTCAGAATCTTCGATATGAAAGTCAAGAAAGTTCAACTGTACGAAACTGAAAATTGGAGAACTACCACAACCATCACCAAAAATGTACAAGTATTTCTAAACAATTATCTACTCAAGATACTCAATTTCCGTTGGTCGGATACTATCGACAACAGCCTACTGTGGGGGAGAACAAACCAGCTTTCATCTTAAGAGAAAATTAGGAAAAGACGCTGGAAGTGGATAGGACATACATAGCGGAAATCATCAAACTGTACCACGAGGTAATCCCCACCTTGAGATCCTGAAGTCAAAGGAAAGAGGCAGACTAAAGAACATATTACGCCAGGAATGCGGGGAAGACGTCAAAAGAATGGACATCACTTGCAAACAACTGGAAAGTAGAGCTTAAAAGAGAGAGTTGGTTGGAGAATTCTGGTCGGCGGCCTATTCCTCAAGAGGGATAACAGGCATAAGTAAGTAAATAATAATATGAATCAACCGAATGAATAAACTTCATCAAGGAAACGGAAATTCAAACTGGTAAACAACTACTTATTTAAATACATTCTACTTAAAGAAAATTTTCTTTAAAAAAAAACACAACAGATGAATATGTATACAAATAATTGGTATGACAATAATGACATAGCTCTCCATTATCATTTCCGCTGATGAATGGAATTGTATTTTATGCATCACATGACTAATATATTAAAAACGTAAGTGCTAACACGCCGAAGAGGTTTCGAATTTGTAAAGAATCAAATTGAATGAACGAATTATCGGAAAAGAAATGCATTTAAATTTAATAGTTTAAGGAATTAAAAAAGTACAACTTATGTTTAATTTCTTGTGACTATGAAATGAAATTTTATTCTCCTACAACCGTTTTTCATTAGTAGGTCTAAAGAGTATTTTTTGGTTCTATTTAGAAATATAGATTACAATGGGATATCCGGTTTATGTACCTTCGACAGTCTGTATAACCTAGGTAAATGCATACTTATCGGCTTAATTGTTTTGTATATGTCTGGTGAAATCATCTGTTGATTATTTACACCATGTAATGACTTCAGCTAGATAAATATTGAAAAGCATAAAACATTGTGAAGTGTACAATACCAATGACTACGTCGAAAATGAAACATTTAGACCTTACGATGAGTCTGCTGCTGAAATGATATTGAATGCTTCACAATTTCGAAATCAGTCAATTTAAGATATTTCGTAACTATCGTCTACTAGTAATAGACCGCACGAGGTTAAAATTCATCACAGAGCAAAACTTAAATAATTTCCATGAACTTTTCAGGATAATATCTGTTTGAGAGATAGTATTCTCCACAGATTAATCTCATTCGGGGTACCACCGAAAGCCAATGAACACTGGACAGTTGCTTCACCTTAGAGTATGGGAATTATCAGTAGTTTCCTCTGACTTCTCAACTGTATACCAAATGAGATCAATCTATAACAAATGCTAAAAATAAAATAAATCTCCACAAAACCTCCTCAAAATAATTATTATTTTACAAAAAGATTTCTAAACTTTCGGATAATCTATATGTGTAATGAAATGAATCTCAAATAATCTAGGATTAACTAGTGATTTATGTTTAAACTATTAATCCCCTTAAAATTACATTAAAACTTATCGTAATCATTTGATGAACTAATTCATATCCTCAGATTACTGTAAATATCAGGAATAAATGACGAATGATATAATATACTATGATATTTTTTTAAATTTTTCCAATGTATTACACTAATATAATCAACAACAAAAATTAAAATGGAACAATAACCTTCCGACAAAATGAATCACAAGTGTGAACTTTGTTTTGTTTACTTCAGTTTGAGCAGGTAAGTTGTACACTAGTTCTCAGAGAAGGTCAAGAACATAAATCTATGTTTCGTAATTAAGTGAAATACCAAACAACAATATGGGAGTAGACATAGATACTGTACACACATATGAAAATCATTTGACAACAAAAACTTTGCATCAGTAAAGTAGAAATATGAATTAATACCATTAATAGTTGTTACCACTTTTTTATAAACTAGTCTTGTTTGAACAACCCTTGAAAATCTGGAAGCACTGTACGGCTATTTCATCGTAGTGTGGGAGCTCAACAGAAGTGCACACCTAGGACCTTGCATACAGGAATCGAATTCAAGACCTTCAGTCTCACAAGCGAACTCAGCCTATAGACTGCTAATCGGGTACCCGATGGTACTGGGCAACTTCAACCAGTCCACGATATTGCGAGACCATAGTGACTAGTGGAGTTCAACCATTTCGGGTGTAAGACAGTTATTCAGACCAAGCAATTGAGGATGGGCGCACAATATCGTGAAGTTGCACATTAGCACAGTCAAATACCGGGTCACAGATCTAGAAGTTAGTCATTCGTTCACGGGACCGAGGGTATGGGGTTCGATTCCCGGACGAGAGGTCGTAGATCCACAATTCTGCTAAGTCCCATTCTGGGATGAAACCGCCGTTCAGTGATCTCAGGTTTTTAGTGATGAACCCAATAAAATTAGTCCGTGATTTAAAATCTATGGAAATTCCCTACAAACCTTATACTGATAAGATAAAATTGTCAAAGACTACAATATAATGACTAGTACATAACGTTAACTTGAATAAGATGAAACGTTAATTGAATTTAAACGATTAATACTCAGAATACATAACAATGATATAGGGTGACAGAAATGTACGTACGTACATCAGTTCGAGTTGCCATACCACATTAGCACAGAGTTGCAGTTGCCGATTCGAATCCCGTAGTGGTAGAGGTAATAAGAGCATAAGCAGTGGTTGGGAAGATCAGGGTTTGAAAATGTTATTTAAAGAGTATAATCCAGTGAAATAAATTTGGGAATAGAAAAAAAGAGACAAGGAGGAATCCAAAGATTAAAATTTAGGAGAACACAGAGAGTGGATGCATTTGCGCCATTGCAAACGATTTTGAGCCATGTCATTCAGGGTCTCTAACCATCGGTTGCTATCATCTCGTGGTCCCCAACCAGGTAGTCTACACCTACCAACATGACTCAGTCTACTTGTCAGTGACTTCATGGACTTGTGCCATGTTTTGGTCTGGCCGCTCCTAGCTTTCTTCCAACCTACTCCTATACAACAAAACATCGCACATCAAGGCAGTCGGTCGTTGGGCATACGTAACACGTGTCCCAGCCATCTCAACTGATGAAGTTTCACTACTTCATCAATTGATTTGCCATCCTTACCTAGTACCCGTTTCCTAACAACTACGTTACTTACTCGATGGTCCCAGGATATACAAACAATGTTTCGAAGACACCTATGATCAAATACTAGCAACCTACGAATATCCTCTACTCTTGCCGGCCATGTTTCACTGCCATAAAGTAGGACGGGACGAACTGCTGCGCAGTAAACACGTCCCTTGGTTGATAGACGGATATCTCGCCTACGCCATAAATAACATAAGTTGGCAAAAGATAGCCGAGCCTTCTGTATCCGCGCTGAGATTTCGTCACACACTAAACCACAAGGGCTGATGAGACTTCTAAGATAAGTGAAGCGGTCGACACGCTCAATTACTTCACTCCCTATCATTAGTTCGGGTTTCAATGCAACCCAATCCTGAAGCAACATTTTGCATTTCGAGGGAGAGAATCGCATCCCGAACATGCTTGCATTGTTGCTTAGAGTGGTCAGAAGACTCTGCATTTTGTCAGCGTCTTCACCAAATAAAACTATGTCATCAGCATATTCCAAGTCAACAAGTGAATCTCCCGGTAGAAGTTCAACCCCTGGAAATCTAGACGAGGAAAGTGTTATCTCTAAAAGTACGTCGACGACAAAGTTGAACAAGAATGGAGAGAGTAGACAGCCTTGACGAACACCACTTGAGGTAATCAATTCTGATGACAGTTCGCCACAAGCTCTCACTCGACCAGTTGTGTTCGAGTAGAGAGCCTTTATAAGGTTAATGTACTTCTTTGGTACTCCTTTCAGTGACAAACACTGCCATAGAACCTCACGATCAACAGAGTCGAATGCCGCCTTAAGGTCGAGAAATACTACCATTGTGGGGCATCTGAATGTTTGTCTGTGTTCTAGAACCTGACGTAGTGTGAATATCTGATCTATACAACCACGTCCAGGTCGAAAACCAGCCTGATTTTCTCTAGTCTGCTCTTCACGAGCTTTAGTTAGGCGTCGAATTATTATTCAAGCTAATATTTTAGACGCTATATTAGTCAAACTGATTCCTCTGTGATTGTCACAAGAGGACTTTTGTCCTTTTTTATAGACTGGCACAATCAGTGATTGAGATCAGTCAGATGGGATTACGTCCAGTTCCCAAATTCTACTTAAGACCTCAGTTAATCTCATTGCTAATACTGGACCACCATCCTTAAAAATCTCAGGAGTAAACCTGTCAGGGCCTGCTGCTCTCCCTCGTTTCAGATTTCCTATGGCTTTTTCAACTTCGTAAAGGGACGGAGGACCTACATTAACTTGCCATTCAGGTTGACTAGAGATCGTGGGAAACCGAAGTGTGGCTGAAGACCAGTTGAACTGATCCCTGAAGTGTTCTGCCCATAGATCCAATCTCCTGGATTGAGAATGTATAATATGTACATCTTTCTCTGAGATTGTTTCGCTAACAGTCGGGTTCCTAATACCGGTTTCCTTAACAAGTCTGAACAATTGTCTGCTATTACCTATTGCCGCTGCCTTTTCCATCTCTCTTGCTTTCGCTACCCACCACTGTTCACGATCATTGCGTAGACTTCTTGTCAGCTTGCGCTTAAGCTGACTCCGCTCTTCATTATGTTCAGAGCCAGGTGGAATGAGTTTCCGAGCATCTATCAGTGCGATAGATGCTGCTGAGATCCAGTGTTTCTCCCTAACCTTCTGGTTTACCTTACTAGCAGATATCACTGCTGTTTCCACAGCTTTTCGGATATCATTCCACGCTGCATCGGGGTGGGCATCACATACATGGCTGCCTAACTGTTTTCCTAGTTGTTCCTGAAATATACTCTTAGCTTGACTATCATTAAACAGGACCCTAAGAGGTTTACTTGCAGCGTCTTTCCTACGTCCAGTAAGACGCAGACAAATACGCGCTCGTACTAGAGCATGATCTGAATCTAAGCATGTGCTCCAGAATGAGCGACAGTCTTCTATCGAGCCCCTCCAGCGGTGGCTGATAGCGATGTGATCTATTCGGGTCCAACGTTGGGACGAATTAGGGGGTCTCCATGTTAAAAGATGTTTTTCCTTATGCTTAAAGTTAGTATTTGCAAGAAACAGGCGGTTATCTGAGCATAGCTGCAACAGACGGTCGCCATTATCTGTTCTTTGAGCCACGACACCATAAGATCCACCCAGGTGTCATTCCCTTTCGCTTAGGTGACCTACTTGAGCACTAAAGTCACCAGCCACTATTACTACATCAGAGCGCCTAGCTTTTCGGAGAAGGTCGGAAAGCTTTCTGTAAAACTAATGTTTCACATCATTTGCGCTGCAGTCAGCGGGAGAACAGGCAGAGACGACGAAGAGGCAACGAAGAGTGTCTCTATCTTTTCGGATCCCTACTGTTCCGTTTAGTCGGACAGCGCACAAACGACTGTCTACTGGGATAGTCTAAGAGAGCTAGTTCTGCCCTAGGACTCAATACTATACCTACGCCGGAGAAGCCACGGGAAGCAGAATCATGGCTTCCAGACACACGAAGCGTGAATCGAGTTGGTTCTTTATTTCAACATGGTGAGGTCAAATGAATGACGCTACTCGGATCCTGTATGCGCGTTTCGGAGACGCAGCACACATCGATGGTGCGGGATTCTAAAGTCCTAGCTAAGGAAGCCTGCTGTCCTATTTGGCACAGTGTTCGGACGTTAAAAGTTCTTACATGTAGTTTAGAGCGTGGTTTCAGGAGACCAGGAAAAGCGTTCCGCGTACTCGAATCGTTTGCCCTAGCAGTGCGAGGTGAGAAAAGAACGTGAGAAGGGTTAGTCGGGGAGATAAGAGTGGTAGTAAGAGGTGTAGGAAGGATTTAAATGTGACCAACTTGGTCTCGTGTGTTGTTACGGGTGTGAGGGCTGGTGTCACTTCCCGGCTGCCCACACCGTGGAAGGGTATTTCTTGAGGAACCTGAAATAGAAGTCGGATTAGTGTTGGTCTTAACGACCTGGGAGCGTGACCGCAGAGCCCAAGGGACAACCGCTTGAGGCCGGTCGCGCACGGCCTTTTCGTGGAAGTTTTTTAATGTGTTAGCTCCGTTCTTCAAAGGGCCTTACCGCCGGAGACGGAAATCCGTGAGGTAAGGTGAGGTGTGACATTTTTAGGGTCGACCTTTCCTAACCCCGCCCCTCCTTGTGGGAAGGCAGCATCGCTGCAGATGCTGGTTGTCTGAGGGAAACACCTTACTGCTGCCACACCCCTCTACAGTCAGCAGTACGACTTCGCCCTCAGACCTTGAGTTACTGCTTTTAGTCTTACCGTTTTCCAATCGACCTGCCTGGCGTGGTAGAACCTACAGGAACATATGTTCCAGCCAATATAGCTCGGTTGGGTCATCACGATAGGCAAGCCCGACCACTGCGTCAAGGTAGCAGCTACGGTCGGGTACAGGATTGAAGAGGATCTCTAATTACTAAACAAATTCTAGAAAGTATATTAGTACAACAAACCTTTACAATTCACTTAAACATCATGGAAGCAATAGGTGGTGGTTTTTTTTCTTTGCTTAGTGTATTTTTCTTTAATAACACATAATTCAGAAAATGTGTTATCTGAAAATCAGAAGTGATGGCAGGATATATTTCTTGTGTTACTATTTGTAATTTTGGTCACCATTTAAATTATTCTTGACTAATTAAGTTCTAATTAACATATAAAAGCATGGAAAAAAACCAAACAATTGGTAAGCGATTTATATTTGATTTTAAAATCGATTTAGACTAAACTTTGAACATACTCATTAGATTTTATTTGAGTAACCTAAATATACAGACAATTTGTTTACAGAATTTAATATATCGTCTTCTCAAACACCTACACTAACTTTAAGAGTGTGATTTGAAGAAGAAATACTACAATTCGAAAGAAATTATGTGGAATCTAGAATATTTTTCATGGAAAAACAAAAGAGTATCATTAATGTGACTGAAGAGATTGAAACAAGTCTAAGGAGTTGAAAACAAACCACAAATTGAAAGATGAGGAAGACCTTATTAGAACCACTGGACAAAAATCACAGTTTATCAACAACACCAGCTAGTGTCAGTCGTCTATGTCTACAAAGAAGTAACTCGAAACGTAATTAACATTCCTGACTATTCATTTTCTAACGGTTAAAAATAGAATGGACACTACGCTAGTACTGAACAATTGAATATTTTAACTTCAGGTACACATAAAACTGTACACCTAATTATACCAACAATTAGTTAAACATAACGTAGAAATCAGCACATGTGTTTGTCGGTTCAATCAAGGATTAATGCTTTGAAGATATCCATAATCAAATATTTGTAACTTATCCATGTCTTCTATTTTCATACATCATATTTCACCTCCCAGAAGTAATGAAGAAAACTGCTGTTTGTGCCGTTAACAGTACAATATAACGAAAAAGTAATATTTTCGAGAACATTTCAGTCACTATAAATGCCATTAGACGGCTGGAGATAATCGGTAAGTATCTCTGGATAAAGATTTTGAGCTAGGAAGTGATAACCTCTAGGTATGAATATCTAAGAGTTCCAGTATTTTCATGGTTCAGGATATACACAGCTGATAATTGAAGGAATCTAAGTCGAGATTTTTTATGACTGGCTCCAACCATTAAACACTAGATAAAGTGCAACTTGATATAGAGTCACTTGATTTAATGGATATGATGTAAGCTCGATAGGTATATTTCAGTCAGTACTACTGAAAACCCACCATTAGTCACCAACTAGTGAATGATTAGTGTAGCCATAGTAGTCAGGCAGATGTTTTATGATCATTGCAACAAGATCTTCGGCCTTTCTGAAAATCAATGGAGTAACCAACGGTAAAAGCCCATCTGGTCATACTTTTTTATACTGAGATAGCTGTCTTTATACCTTATTAACTTTAACTAACAATTCCATAAATACACATTATCGACTTTTTCTGGTTTGCCATGACGATCCCAATGTCTCACACTTAGAAGTTAAAAGGTTGAAATAATATTACTCAATAATTTGTGAGTTAAAAAAGATGTATTAAAAAGTCGCACAAAAAAATCAAGATTATATTGTAAACAAGTAGAACTAAATATAAACATACTTCTGCTATATCTCTATTGGTTTTTGATTCATGTGGTTCATTGAATTCAGTATATCGTAATAAAATTTTGTCCATATCTGAACTAGCATATTGAAACAACTTTTGTGAACTCGTAAATACAATTAAAGCTATTTCACAATCACACAGTATACTCAACTCGTATGCTTTCTTCATCAAACCCAATTTACGCTTTGTAAATGTAACCTAAATAGAAAATAAATATTTTAAAAATAATCTAATATGTATGATAACAAAATAAATAAAAGGATAATAAAATAATCACCGACATGTAATACATACAGTAAGGGCTGTATCAAAGATATGATGTCATGGTTAATAATGTCTATAATTAAGCAGATGAAACATACTTGTGTACATAATCTAAGTAATTCCTTGGAAGTCGTAAGTCAAAACTATTGGGACAACCTGACTAAAAGAAAATCTTTGTGAATTGTTTTTAATTCCTCGTCAATGATACAATAAGCTAATTTCATTAGTTGACAATTATTTTGTTTGATTAAGCGTTTTATGAAGGTGAGTTTAAGTAGGCGATAGGTTTCATGACGAGTTCATTCCAATTTCAGAACCATTGAAAATTAAGGAGCACTGTTTAGTTGTTACGTTGTGGCTTGAGACTTTTCAGAAGTACGCACTACATTAGGAGTCGAAACCAAGACCTACAGATTTCAAAATGAAAATGTTCCCCTCTCAAATAGGTTAGAATTCAATGACACTCATTTCCAATTTCAGTTAATGTTAAATGGTAATCATTGTTGGGTAACTGGATTGCTTGCCACATGTCTGAGATTTGACAGTCATAAACCATCACAAACATTTAAAATATCTATCACAAAGTTAGTCACTAGCAAGTATACGATATTTCCTAGAAAAAAATGAAAAGAAAACACTACAATATATGACATACCTGACGATTTCGTTCGTCAGCAATCTTCTTGATGAGTATTTTTTTGCGACCCATGAAGTAAAAGTTAAATAATTCCAAAAAAACTATAATGATATGGTAACACAGATGAAAACATCAGCAACAAAAAACTAAGAACAAACAGAGAATCCAATAAAATGGAATTACAATAACAACGAGGAGAATAAGAAAAAAAGTGACAGAAAGTGTATAAATAGTCTTCCTTTTCAAATACAATAAAAATTTGTAATAACTGTAACAAGATATGCAGTCTAGACGGATATCAAATAATAGTTGGGGAATAATATTATTCTATCTATGGTGATGATAACAGGAAGAAAAATATGACAAGTTAAAATAATTGCTCTTATTTTTCAGAATATTTGAAATAGAAACAAACAAAACAGAAACTTTAAATAAACAATTAATTAATTAAATTACTCTCTCGCTCTGTTTTGAATAAAATATTTATACTTATGTATAATTGATATGAAATAAATTAGAAAATAAACATATTAATATACTGAAAAAAAAATTAACGAAAAAAAAGCAAAATAGGTGAGAGCCGAAAGCAAATAATATTATAAGTTCTTTATGAATCTGCTTTTCGGCGCCTCCTCTTTTGCACCACCTAAAATATATCTAAAATCTAGCTAAAGTGTTTTAAGTAAAATATGGAAAGACTAAGTATGTAATTATGTATGAATGTGTGTGTGTCTGGACAAATAAGATAATATATCAAGATAATTTTGTCTTTTCTAGAAACCCTCGATTTTATAAGTATGCAGACATAGATTAGACTTCCTTGAAGATTTAATGATATGAAAATCTGGTCGGTGCCTAACCAGATCAGTTACAGTATAAATTATCTGAAAAGTATTGGAAAATAAAAAATAAATTAGAGAAATAAAAAGTACTAAACTACTTTGTTTAACAATTAAAACGAAATCATAGATCTCAGTTCTAATTAGTTATAAGAAATTAATTATAAAATAAATATTTCATACATTGAAAGGTAACTTACAGGACATGACCTTCGTTTTTTAATTTGATTTTGGGCCCCCAAATATCCCGAAGCGGCCGAGGATGGGGAAGATTCGCTCTCTATCTCGAAATGCTCTCACATGGCCACGCATATACAGCCACTGTCAGAGAAGTCCTATTCGCCTGATCGCGGCAGGGTGTTGTTTGAGAAATTGAGGAGGAAAGTGAATGTCCAACGCTTTAACCTGGTTGGTGGATACGGAGGACTCACCTAGGGGGGTCTAAAAAACCCCATTCTAAACCAATGGTGCACATAGGCTCTAGGATCCTGAGGGGACAAATGGCGTATGAACCTATTGTTGGTCACTGGCTACCATGGGACTGAATCCCCTAACGCTGCTTCACTACCCTGTGGACTGGAACTCTAGGTTGAAAGTTCAAGGAGTGACCACTGAAGACCACCCGCTTCATCCCGGGTGCCCGGGAAGTTCCCAAGCCCACACACAAACCAAATGGTTGCAATTAGAAAAACAATTCACGCTTTAATTCTCATTCTCGCAAATCATACTCAAAACCACTTATTAACCATTGTTTGCATTTTACATTGAGTCACTTGTCTATTCTTTTATTCCTATTTTGTATATTCCCTAATTCTTCAAATTCCATAAGCTGCTCGCCTATCTAAACGATCTCAAGTCACTGACTGATCAGAAGTTGAATCCTACTAACGAATATGAATTATAAATCAGCCTTTTTGAAACATCTGACATTCAAACTGGCCTACTTCAACGCTCGCACACTAACGCAGATCGGACAACCGATAGGGTTGGCTATGTCTTTAAAAAGTAGCAACATCGATGTCTGTTGTCTATCTGAGACCCGTATTCAAGACTCTAGTGAAGTACTACAAATTCGCTCTCCATCTGGCCGTTCGAAAAGCTTGATTTGTGTTTTATCCGGGGATCCTGCAGCATCTTTGTCTAGTTTTTCTAGAGTTGGCGCCATGCTAATTAGTTGGATCCCTGTTAACAGTCGGCTATGTGCTTTTCAATCAGAAAGCTCCATCAAAGTGAGAAAATGAGTGAGCAAAATGATGTACTTCCGTCATCTCCGTCAATGCTCCAACAGACTGCAGCCCGGGTGCGATCAAGGATGAGCCTTATTACCAGTTAAGTGTTCTACAGAAAGTGTGTCCTGCAGATATGGTAGTGCTAGCCCGAGACATGAATGCACAGATCGGGCGTCTGAGCGCAGGGGAGTCATTTGTGCGGCTAATTGGGACTTGTTAGTCGCTAGTTAGATAACGGTGACCTACTGTAACTGTAAAACCAGTTTCTAGCTAGCATTAACTACTATAGGGACGGTCATCGCAGGTGTGATACCTGACGTCCTGCATCTGAATCTCAAACCTGAACTCAGATTGATCACATTGCGATCGGCTACCTATAACGTAGTTATGTACAAGACTGCTGCTTCTTTTGGGGTATCAATCTGGACTCTGACCATGCCCTTACCTGCGCTAATAATGTCTTACATTTTGGTGGCCGACCGACTTACCGCCCTAAACGAATCGATGTCAGCAAACTGGTTGCGGCTTCTGTTGCAACTAAATATCAAACCGAGCTCGGATTAAGGCTAGCTATCAAACCGTTGAGAATTATAGATGACCGTTAGCTGCAATTGCATGATGCCATGAAAGTGGAAAGTAGAGTGGTTTGTGGTTTTGCGAAACGTTCCGCATGTAATCACTTGGTTTCTACAGGCTCTTTTCAATTAGTTGAAGCACGTCGACCTATTCCGGAAAAACGCGAGTTTGACTATAAAAAAGACTGTTTCGTAATGAAGTTGAGCAAAGCTTGTGTAAGGACCGAGAAGCCCGGTGGTCGCAGCGTGCTAACGAGTTGGGATCAGTAGCACCTGGTAACTAACAAACGTCCTGTCAACTCATCTGAGCCACTGGCAGCAAAACGTCTGGTGGGCAGAGCTTTTTGAGAAACCGTTCAACTGGTCTGTTGCGCGGCAACATCGATCAGACTGCCCTGTCTTCCATAGTCAGTGACGACTAATCGACATAACAAAGCAGAAGTTCGCAAGTAACTGCAACTCTTGAAGCGCTACAAATCACCAGACTCAGATGGCTTACTTCTGGCCTTCTTGGTGATGACAGCGACCTTTTGGTCAAAGAATCGATTGAGTAATTTATAAACTTCTGGTAGTCAGAGTGTTCAAATATCATGAAATAAGTTGATAGTTGTCCCCATCTTTAAAAAGGATTGACGTTACCTATGCAACAACTGTCGAGGGATAAGTCTACTTTCAACTAACTCCAAACTATCGGTTTCTGTCGTACTTCGTAGATTGTTTGAAACCCGGAAAGATTGGCCCCCGAGGAGCAGGCGTCCTGGTCGAGGGTGTATTGAACATATCTTGACCCTCTGAAAAATGTCCGAATATCGCCATGCTTATTAGAGACCAATAATCGTAGTTTCTTGACATCACGGCTGCCTTCGCTTAGTTGGACAGGACTGTTTCCTAGAATTGCCTATTGAAGAAGGGTGTGCCCGAAAATTTTACTAACATATCGGAAGCCCTACATACAAAAATTTCAGCAAAGTGAGGGCATACAACTGCCTCTCTCGGTTGTTCCATTCAAGTAGTGGGGTTAGGCAAAGTTGCCCAATCTCACCATTCCTCTTCAACTTTGTCGTCGATGACATTCCAGAAACAGCTCTGATGGATGTAAGTAATGGCGGTGTGGATCTGTTGTCTGGAAAAAGACTTCTCGACCTTAAGTATGAGAATGATATTATCTTATTGTACGATGATGCCCAAGCCATGCAATCCGCATTCAGTCAGTTGGCAATTAGTGTCCGTAAGTACGGCGTGTGATTCGCACCTTCGAAGTGCAAAGTACTTCTACAAGACTGGCAGGACCCTCATCCTGCACTCACCCTGGGTAGTGAGCAGATAGAAGTAGTCGAAAAGTTCGTGTATATGGGTAGCTGCATAAGTGCCGGCGGTGGCGTGAGTGATGAGATCAATTCACGAATAGTGAAAGCCAGAGCGGATTATGCCAGTCTGGGCTGTCGTTGGTGCCTTCGTGATGCTAGTTTGGCTGGAAAAGGTCGGGTCTACAACACGTTGGTGAAAGCAATTTCACTCTATGCTTGAGAAACCTGGTCTCTCAGAGTTGAGGATGTTAGACGACTCTGTGTTTTATCATCGCTGTCTCCGAAGGAATGCCGACATCCAGTGGCAACACTATGTTAGTAATGCAGAGGTTCGGTATCCTGTGTTCGCGTACAGAGATGATAATTTAGTCGGTGTCATCATCTTGAAGCACCGATTTCGTTGGCTTGGACATATCCTACAAATATCGTCTTAGCGAATTTCACACCATGCATTATTCGCCAACACTGAGAGTGGTCGGAAAAAGAGGGAAGGCGATCATCACATAACATGGTGCTGTGGTATGAATTAAATCTGTATAAAACTGGTTTTAGTTGGTCCTTCAAGACTACCTGGTTGGTGCTCTAGAGATAGTGCAACACAGTGGATCGAGACGTTATCAAACATGGCTCAGAGTATAAGGAAGCAGGGATCCTGTTGTAATTTTCTTTATAAAAGTGATTGTAACTTCTTTAACTGAAAAAAATGCTATCTGGCTAAATTTTTTCTAGATGAAATACTTCTCCTATTATTATTTCACTCTCATACACTGATTTCCAATCATGGTTGTTGTTCTTCTCTTATTATACTCGTCTGTCTTCTCTATCTCTTCGTAACCTCATTTTTATTGTGTGGCACATATATATTTGGTGCCCCCCTTCTATCGATGTGCCGATAGTAACAATAACCTACGACGTTTAAATAAATAAACTATTTCAGTTCCAATATAGCAGTTATTTTCGGGATACTATTTGTTTTTTCTTGTCGGTGTCACCTCTCTGTAACAAGACGAAATGAGGCAACTTAAATTTATTATAACTGTCAGTAAGTTATTCCCGTCCATCTGTTTCTGGTCTATCGTTCCGGCGTCAATTCAGCAAGTAAAAAACCGAATAAATCCTAGAATTAAAAATAAGTTTTCCAGTACTACCGTAAGAATCACAACGCGGTTTTATGCTGATAACACCGTTTAGTCTAGCTATTATTATTAACCCCTAGTAATCAAATTTTTTACCAAAACGCTTTGGAGAGAATCGTAAAGACTTATCGAAATTCAATGAAAAAAACTCAATGTAATTCACTCTTATCATCTTTATGAACAATGAGGCCAAAAATATAACCACTAATTAACACAATATCAACAGAAAGAAAGCAAACGTATTTCTGGATTAGGAGTTAAGTGTATAGATAAGTTCGCAGAGAAATTTACTCCAATGATTAGTGAATTTAACTCGCATTCAAATTCATTAAAAACCATATGATGTTAATCTCTACAAGCAATAGTGTTTGTCGTAAAATCAATCAATATCAAGGACAATCTTGGGCGATTATCGAACCATTTTTTCTAACCAATAGCTGTTAGAGAACATGCAAGCACCAGTTCATGGTGCACTACCTTGACATATGGACTATTAAGTAGGAAAGTTTGAGTGGGACGATAGGTATCCGATCATAGTTACTGTCAAGGGATTGCTCGCACAATGCGCAATCAACAAATGTGAGCTGTTAATGTTCGGAGCAGTGTGATACGATTTTGAGCCGTCATTCAAGGTCTCTAGCCATCGGTTGCTATCATCTCGCGGATCCCAACCAGGTAGTCTACACCTACCAACATGGCTCAATCCACTTGTCAGTGATTTCATGGATTTGTGCCATGTTTTAAATCTGGCTGCCCCTAGCTTTCTCCCAACCTACTCCTACACTTAAAACATTTCTA